AGATACTTTATTATGGTATAGTATTTTAATGTATGCCTGAGAAACACATAATATTGGCCCTTTAAAATGCATAAAGTTTTAGCAAAAACTTTGAAGTCTTGAGAACAGCTATCCTACATCTCAACAATTTTTTTTTACCTGTCGTCTAACGCCATTAAATGGCTTATATACTCAGAGAAAAACACACACATATACAGTATATATAGAAAAGGACTAAAACAAGCCACTCAACAGCTATATTTACTCCACATTTACTCTTCGCCYCACATTTACAGTGACTCCTGTCCTGGTCAATATGAGCACAGATACATCAGCAAACTGCAACATGTTGGATCCATGAAARCAACCTGTTCATGAATCTGCAGCATGCCTTGTTAAGTAGCAATGACAGCAACAATGGAACTGTGGTGCTCAATAAATAAAGCAATGGTTGCATCTGTGATTGAGAAGCAGCAGCTTCTCAGTACACAAAAAAACAAACAAACAACAATAACAAACAAATAAAAGTTCAGCTGCTGACCAGGAGCTGAGCGGAGGCTGTGAAGSGGGGTGAGAGGGGGAAATCTACAAAGCTGACCGTGTTTTAGTACTCACACGCTCCTGCTGTTTTGGCTTACACACACGTTTAGGCTCTGATTTCTTTCCCAATGACAACGACATCGATAATGACTGCTGGTAAAAATGCAACGAGAAATTAAGGTGTCTCGGTCAGTGGCAGAAATCTGAACATTGGCTGAAAATGAACATAACATCTGAAAGACCTTCACGTCTTTCAGGTGCGATGGTGGTTTATGGCAGCTGAATAACTTTATCTGCCACTGAGTACATGCAGTAAGACTGTACGATAAACATGGAAACTTATTGTTTCTCCTTCCCAGAACCCAGTTTCTGAATATAAAGCATTTYTGTTATATTTTAAGGCACTTCAGTTCTATTAACATTTCATAAATGTTAATGATTGTAGTTAAACAGAACCGGTCACATCAAACCAATGATTATCTCTGACTTGGTTGAAATAAACTCAGCACATTATTCAGACTCCTGCTACATTCTGATACCTGRATCAACCTGATATGAGCCGCTCTACAGATATGGCTTAATTTGTCTCGCTAATCAGAATGACCTGTGGAAACTCAGTCTGARTCYTACGTTTTGTGCATTCAAATGAGAATTTCTTGACATTTGAAAGAGGATTTCCCAACTGATACTGAAAGTAGCTTCACTAGCATGAAGGGAAAGTAGTGAAAATCATCCTTAGTTGTTGGTACTGCTCAGAACAGTGCCTCAAATTATTGTTTAGGATTATATTTTTGGACATTATCGTTAAATGACCTATAGAGGTATTCAATTAAAAATACTTTATTAACCCCAAAGGGAAATTAAAGTAATTTATTATCCTAGTTTCTTTAAAGATTTGGTATACATGTAGATGCAGATGACTGTGGGTAGGAAGGATCCATCTTACAAAACCAATGCACTAAAGCTCCCTATTTTCTCACTACATTACTTGCAACTTAATCCTCAGTTTAAWGTGACTGACTGGTCATAAACTTTATACATTTACTGACAAAAATATTCAAGCACCCAAAAGGAATAGTCTAATTTTTATCTCGTTGCCAATCAGGTCAACGATCTTACCTCAAGCAAACATGAAATAAGGAGGAGGTGCCACACCCTAACTGTGTGTCCACACTGCAAACTCCACTATTCTTTCAGCTGATATTACAGTCAYAACAATACAGACAACATTTCAACACGTTTCCATCAACAGCTTCATTTGATTCCTACTACTTTGTCTGGGTGCTTACCATGGTGTCAGTAAGTGTAGTATGAGATCATTACWTCAAATTATTGTTTCACAGTAAAATGTTTCTAATGTTGACTGGTTTGTCAGTTATATTAATACTGAAAAACTTTTAAAACTGCAAATTTTACTTGAATAGATTAATACAATAGAAGATGATGTAAAACAGAAAAGATG